GGAGGGGCGGGGAGGGACTCCATGACTACTTACGACTTACCCAGCTACTAACAACAAATACCCGGCAACTTGAAATCCTAGTGACAACCCTGCTTGTTTAATTATCTCAGGCATTTATGCACCAGATGTCCATGGTTTTTGTAATATTTAGTTCGCAAATTTTTCACAAATTTTCACTGAAAAGTAAACTGCATTCGTTCAACCTTTTGGAAGGTCGACCCAACAGCTAATTAACTCCAATAACAATAACTCTTGAAAGCGCGAAAACAAAAACAAATAACAAACCAACCAAACCCTTTCCATGAACGTCTAGTGCAAGTTTTGATAAGTGAGTCTAGTCTAGCACGTCAGTCTCTCGGGTCAACTATCTTGACCGTCTCACACGCTGCGCCAGTAAGAGGCAAACTTACCAAATTTTCTCTTTTAACTTAACAAGGTGTTTTTAAATTCTCGAAACCCGACATCTAAACTTATTCTTGTGGCAATAATGTTCGCCTCCTTCGCCCTCTTCATAAAAAATTACCACACAGTCAATGATGCATGCCCTCTTTTTTTTTGCATTGTATCGAAAGGAAAGCAAAAATAAACGGTACCATAGTACCGTGAACAATCTTATTTCACTGAATACCGTCAGCCAAAATGATGACCAAAATGCACGTTAAAATTAAAATTACTGAAATACTACGTGAAAAAAAGCCATATACTGCAATACTGTAAACCCACATGTCCCCCTCCTTAAGTTTTACCTCTCTTCTGGTTTCTATTAAAAGCACTAACTGACATCTTTTATTGAAAGGCGACAACAGTATCAAAACATTTCATTTTCATACAGCATTGTGGTCATTTCAAAACTTTATACTGAACTCAATCTAAATTATAGAATATCAACTAATGGCCCTGTCCAATGGATAAGATATAAGAATGTGATGCTAGGTTCTTTTGTGAATGGCACCAAATAAAATTTATTTTTAAAAGTCTTGATTTCTTACCTAAGGCACTTGCCTTCGCATTATCTGCAAACATGTTAAGGAAATCCAAGTCATAATTTACATTTTTATCTCCTTCAGGTTAAAGGCAAAATCAAACCTCTCTGAAGGTTTTCAACCTGATGGAGTTTTCCATTGGTAAAGCAGAGCTTCCATTTACTTTGATAGCGCAATATCTTAAAGCGTTTACATGTAGTTGATCCTAGTACATGTCTGTCGAAGAAAGATTCAAATATTCCCCCCCCACCCTCCTCGCTGAATAATACAAATCGTTTACATTTATTCGTCGCGAAAGAGACTTAACCTCACTGGTTCTACTTAGTACAGAGACTCCGCCTAACAGGGGGGTACCTTAATAAACATATCTGCGAATTCTTCCCCCCCCCCCCACCGCTCCCCTGCTGGCTTTACATTGATAGGTGCATTAATTCTGTAGCTTTTTAGTGCTTTTGACAGGGGCACCCAATGACCAAATGTTTCTAAATATGTCAGAAGTGTATCAAATGGTTTTCTCTATACTTTAGTACCCTTCTTGGTTCATTTGGAGCTGCCCAAAAAACTATTTGTTTGTTTGGATGTCTTAGGGGAACTTTGGTTGTCTCGAAAGTTTTAGGTGGCTTTTTTTGTCTCATCTGAAGTTGTTAGTTACACTGATAGGTCCGGTCGAAAGTTTGAGGACGTAGGCATAAGAATTCTACTGAAGTTTTTAGCTGACCTTTTTTAATAAGCACATTCTTCTCTAACTCTAAGTTACCCTCCATGACGGACATCCGTCATTTTAATACATCAGCGATCCTCTACCCAGTGTCTTGACGAGTTCATTTGGGTAAGACTTCCATACAACCCCATACATTTATATACATGTAACAATTACTTTTTGCCATTTATTTCAGTTGATTTGCATGGTTAACCAAGACTTGGAGTGAAGGACTGATTGAATTTCATTTCAACTAACAAAGGTATCCTCTTACATTATACCAATCTATAATGGTATTTAATTCTCTACAGTCTGAGTCCCCTTCACGTAGGAGAATAAACTAATTTTACAGCTACATGTTCACAGAATGCTGCTAACACTAGTTGAGTTTAAAAAAATAGGGCTGATGGCACCAAACTCTAGTACTCCTGCTAGATCCCCATAACTCAAACATTCAAGGGAAATCAAAAACAGTTCAAGTTTAATTGGGAGTTCAAAGCAAATAACCAGAAGTTAGGTAATGGGATGGGGAAGAAATGCAAGTATCTTGTAACTTATTCTCAGTTACCGTCAGTTGCATCTAAGCATGTACACGCGAGGAAAAAACATGTTCTAATTGGGTGCAAACATGACATGTTTTGCCACCAAACATTCGAAGTTTGGAGTAGGCAGCTGTTGTTGACTTGATTTGTTTTCGCTCAACAAAATATTCTTTGCAAGTATTTTTATAGGCATTAAAAATAATTTGTAGAGGCAAGTGTGCTGTTTCTGAGTGATAAATATGCCTGACAGTTGAGAAAAATGAAATATAAATGGAACGCGCTGGTAAAAATGTTCTAATAGAAGGGTGCCAGACATTTGAAGTTTGACGGCCGTTAAAGCAAACTGTCGCGCCAATGTTAAGTAGTTTATATGTTTTTGACCAGTGCATTACAGAGTATGGCATTCACAATGTTGAGTATTGCATGTTGAGTAGAACCGTGTTTTGCTGCAAAAACCATATAAAATTTGCTGATCATGGAGAATATTGAATTTTGCAATAAATTTGAATAGTTGGGTAAACACTAGTTTTTCAGCTATTTCGAAAAAATAGCTCATATGTCAGTGGTCTAAGCATATGTATCATTGTGGCTTTGTCTGTTTGGATGTGTGTTGCAGGGGCCAATAAGGTTGAAGGTACTATGAGTTTATGCTTAGGAGCCAATGAGATTTTGGCATCTAAACATGACATTGCTGCACTAAAGGTCAAACAAGGGCACTTTATTGAGACTGCCATTTTCGTTCTTCACAGTTTTGTCATCTTTTATTATCGTAAAAGGTGTTTAGAAGCATAACATTTAAATATCTTCATGATTCAAATGCTGAGTACTGTGATGCAGCTGTTTAAAGGTTCATGATTTTTTTAGTGTGGCTGTGCTGGTTCAAGACATTTATGACCTAATTTGGCTATCGCGAACGGCACAACGTATGTGAATTATGTTCCACCCACTTCAAAGTGATCTATGATGACTAAAAAAAATATTGTTACTGCGACTGTAGCACAGAGAGAAAAAGTTCCTCAATATGCAAGAGTGCTTGCTACATTGGGTTTTTCTCTGAATTTTATTTTGGCTGTATGAATTGAGAAATTGTCCTTGAGCCTAGATTGGCAAAGGTCATACTTTAAGAGGGTAGATATTAAATTTGCACCTGTCATACAGTCGACTCCTGATAACTCGAACCTCATAATTCAAAGGAAATGAAAAACAGTTTGAGTTAGAGTGGTTTTCGTTTGAGTGTCGTAAAACGAAAACCAAAGTAATTACTCTGGCCAATCACATAGGACACAGACAATACATTCAATCAATCAAAACCTCGAAGTAATTACATGTGGCTGACGCAAAGCGCGGGAAAATGCATGCGAGCGTGTCACAATTGGCTTTGGTTTTACTTCTGATTGGATGAAAAGGTGGCGCGAATCTTTTAAGCCAATCGCATCGTGTANTCGTAAAAGGTGTTTAGAAGCATAACATTTAAATATCTTCATGATTCAAATGCTGAGTACTGTGATGCAGCTGTTTAAAGGTTCATGATTTTTTTAGTGTGGCTGTGCTGGTTCAAGACATTTATGACCTAATTTGGCTATCGCGAACGGCACAACGTATGTGAATTATGTTCCACCCACTTCAAAGTGATCTATGATGACTAAAAAAAATATTGTTACTGCGACTGTAGCACAGAGAGAAAAAGTTCCTCAATATGCAAGAGTGCTTGCTACATTGGGTTTTTCTCTGAATTTTATTTTGGCTGTATGAATTGAGAAATTGTCCTTGAGCCTAGATTGGCAAAGGTCATACTTTAAGAGGGTAGATATTAAATTTGCACCTGTCATACAGTCGACTCCTGATAACTCGAACCTCATAATTCAAAGGAAATGAAAAACAGTTTGAGTTAGAGTGGTTTTCGTTTGAGTGTCGTAAAACGAAAACCAAAGTAATTACTCTGGCCAATCACATAGGACACAGACAATACATTCAATCAATCAAAACCTCGAAGTAATTACATGTGGCTGACGCAAAGCGCGGGAAAATGCATGCGAGCGTGTCACAATTGGCTTTGGTTTTACTTCTGATTGGATGAAAAGGTGGCGCGAATCTTTTAAGCCAATCGCATCGTGTAGAAAGTGCAAAACCAATTACTTTTCGACACTCAAATGAAAACCGCTCTATCAGGAGTTTGAAGCAAATAACCAGAAGTAAGGTAATGAGATAGGGGAGAAATGCAAATGTGATGTATACCTTACTGGAAAAAATCACAAATTTTGATACTCACTAAATCTTAAAATCCCTATAAATCCCAGCTAAAAATCATGAAATTAAATACTTACGAAAAGTATATGGCTCAAATTAAATACTCTGGAAATTAATTATAAGGTGCACTTCACTTCAAGGTCAGCAAGAGATATCAACAGTGATATTTTGAAAAATAAATTTTAAATACAGCAACAAAAAGCTTGATTAATCAATGCAGTGCTAAACATTGTATTTGAATTGAACCAACAAAAAAATAAATAAGCTCAAAGAAAACACGATTGTTCTAAGAGAAATTCAATGTTTTTGACTGCAGCTGTCACTGCGTTTTTTTTTTTAATTCTCATGTGGTTAAAATATGGTCAGAGGTTTTGAGGGTAAAATTGTATAGAAATTATCTGAAGGGAAACAAAATTTACGTCAAGTTAGTGGGAGGTTGATAATAATCTTTTCTTTCTATTATCTAACATTTAATTTGTGATCTTACTTTTTGACATTTTAGGGAAATTGTTAATCGAGACATCATAGCACAGCACCAACAACTTAATAGGAAAAGGAAATAGTGCTTATAAGAATATGGCAGATGTTCCACCTGCACTCACCCTGGAGCTTTCCAAGAAAAGTGATCTTTCTAACACATTTCAACCTTGGAATGAAGTCTGTCTTCCAATTGACATTCTTTTGTTGACAGTAAAGGACTGTGAGTTCCTAGCCTGTTATACATACTTAAGAAATTCCTTTAAAAGCTACCATGTGAACCTTGGATATGTGTACTTTGGGAACATGGGTAAAAGCGGAGACGTGCCTCTAAAAGTCGCTTTGACGACATGTTCTGAAGGCTCTTCTGCTCCACATGGCTCACTGATCACTGTTAAGAATGCTGTGGTGGAACTGAGACCCAAAGCTGTTTTCTATGTTGGCAACTGTGTGGGCTTGAACCCAGAAGTCACCAAGTTACAGCTAGGTGATGTTGTGGTATCTTCTAAGCTCACAACTGAATCATTAAAAACCCCGGTGGGAAGAGGTATCTTACACCTTGTCAGGCATGCAGATCATGGCTGGATTCCTCCATTAAAACGTCCAGAAGATCGTAAAGTTCAGGTCTGCTGTGATGGGGATATTTTAAGTGGCATAAACCCAGTCAGTGCTAAACAGCAAAACATGTCTCATGTTACTCAAGCTACTGCATTTGCATTTGGTGGGGAAGGTAAGATATTTATTCCCTGTTAAATGACATCATTCTTCTCTTGTTACATTTTCTTACGAGAGGAGTGGTGGCCCATGGTGTACATCTCAAACTTTAGATCTAGAGGGTCCAGGTTAAGGCTTTGCCGCACTTTGTGCTGTTTCCTTGGGCAAGAAACTTTGATTCACTTTGTCCCTCTCCACCCAGGTGCAGTGTAAATGGGTGCTGGTTATGATCCTTTGTGATCCTGTTTTCAATCTGATCTTTTAAGATCTATTCTATGTTTGGACAATGATGTTTATGTTTGTGTAACTTGCTGTATTTTCTTTACTAAATTATGCATTAAAAATTGATTGGAGGACAGTAGTTTAAGTAGTGTTTTCCTTTGGATAAAATACAAAAGGATAGATAAATTATATTAACATCCTTATGCGCTGCTTATCACTGTTTCTATTTTCTGCCTACCCATTTGCACAGTAAATAATGTTGTTTATGTTGTCACATCTTCATTATTCAACCCTGGCTGTGATGCTCACTGGTGGACCTTTTTGCATCTTGAATTATTAATTATTTGTTGTTTTTTTCCAGGGATTTTCGCTGCAGCACATGATCTTAAGATTGAATGGGTGATTGTAAAAGGTATTTCTCACTTTGCCGATGGTAACAACCCAGCAGAAAATTCTTGGGAGAGTCATGCATGCATAATGGCAGCTTCTCTTGTGTCCAACATGTTGAAGGATCCATTTGTGTTTGAACAATGGCCTCATTATGAAGGTAGGTGTCATGCTCCTTTATTAAACCATGTGATAATTAAATCCTTACCTGTGTACAGAAGGTCAGTGTTTTTGGTTAAGTACTGAGGTTGATTAAAAATACTCACTTTCAAACCTTGTTAATTAATCTCTTATAATAGAAAAAGGATGGAGTTCAACATTTTTTTGGTCAACTCACAACTGTTGGAAACTGTAAAATAGGTAAAAGAAAATTATAAGAAAAAGGTTACAAAGAAATTGGTCAGGTGGACACGAGGGAGATATTTTCTGATAAAATTGACCAGCTGCTTTTCATACTATTATTTTTAGGCAGTAAGATTTGTGGGTTGGTACTCTGCAAGTGCATACTGAGAGACCTGAAGTCTAAAATGACCTTTGTTTAATTAGAGCATAAGTGGTATCTGTTAGGAGCCTGTAAGGTCATTGAGTGGGAATTATTTTGTTACTCAAGTGATTTTTGGTGCCTCTTAGGCATTAAAATGAATTTCTTCCTTGCCACAAAGTTAGATTCTGTTACTTTCTAGGGATACTTTTGGATTTTTTTTTACAAAACCCTGTTTTTTGTTTTGTTTTGTTTTTTGTTAATTTTAATTTTATAGAGGGGGGTATCTACTTTTGGTACCTTCCAGGGGTTAAAGTGAATTTCCAACATGCCCGCAAAGCAAGATTCTGTACCCTCTAGGGACGCTTTTTGTTTTTATTATTATTATTATTATTTTTTGACAAGCACCCCTATTATCTTTAATTTTTTATTTTTTGTTAAGCAGTTCTGCTATTTTTAAAGGGAACTATCTCCTCCTCCTTTTGGTACCACTTATAGAGCTTTAGAGGGGAGACTGGTTAAAATTTGGGGGAAATAATGTTGATTTGGGAAGGAAATATATGAGGGTAGAATAGGTATACACATAAACCAGTTAGTCCGCCAGTGGGATCAGAGGCACCTTGTTGTGGTGGTGGACTATCTGGTAATTGTCTACCAATATTATTTACTTCATATTTTAATTTTTAACTACCCCCAATTCCGGTATTTNGGATATCATGCATCTTGTTGTGGTTGTGGTCTATTTGGTAATTTTTCTCCAATATTATTTATTTCATATTTTAATTTTTAAACACCCCCAATTCCGGTATTTTCCCATTTTTTCAAAAATTTAAACAACTCCCCCCCCCCCCCTAATTTTCATACATTAAAAACATTCAAAAAATCGTCCAAAAATTCTTAAATAATTAAATGACTGCAACTTAATTTAGTCATTTTTGAATTGAAGGAACTCTTGGCTAGATATTTAAGAAAATGAGTGTAAATCAATGAAAAATCATGCTTTTAACCAGACTCCCCCCTTGAAATGAATTTCTTCCATGTCTACAAAGCAAGATTTTTGTACCTTTTAGGGATACTTTTGCATTTTTTATTTGACTAGCACCACAGTTTTTTAATAGGATAGTATCTCCTCCTCCCTTCCCCCACACGCTGAGAATACTAGCAACCAACTTAACAGGGCTGTCACTAAGAGCGGAGAGGGATAGATTCCCACAGGCTACCCCTGGTTACTTTCACAGGAATTAAAGGAAAATCGGACCAAAAGAATTTCCAAGATGTTCTTTTCCCCTGCTCAGCAACTTGAAACCATAGTGACAGCCCTGAACCCTAACCAGTAAGCTCTCTGCACTCAGGCTTTATTTTCTGGTTTTAGATCATCCTAGAACTCTACCCTCTGATTGGTTGATAGCTATGGTTTTGATAGGTCCAGTAAATATTTGAGGAGCTTATTTCCTCTTTTTTAAAAATGTTTTTGAACTGCAACTGCTTACTAGATGCCTTTCAGAGTCAACTCAATGTGCAGGAGAAATCTTGCGTAACCAAGTTTAAACCATACATTTATTGTCTGAAACTGTGCACACTGCAACCAGGCATCCTTTAGTGAATTAAAATGTCAGTATCACCCACAATTAAGTAAAAGCTAAGATGTAAGCTTTCAGTCCCAAGACAAGCTGCTCAATGCTTTTTGTCATTGAAACTTTTTTATTCAGACTCAGAACCTAAAATGTGAGTGGTAAGAAAACTGACAGATTGATAAACATTTTTCCCAAATACTTTTGAATAACTGTTGTTTTAAATGTCTCACTTCAATTTTTATAATTCTATTTTGTTTAACTCACAGACCCGTCAGCAAGGAAACAGCCCTCTAGCTCTACGGCCACTAAGGAGGAGTTACCAGGTACTATTATATCCAATAAAGCAGAAATGGTACCAGACGTACAGTAGATTAAACACACTTACTTTAATATGAAAATGACTTTTATCGTTTGTTATATTGCAATACAAAATGAACTTTATTGTCGCAGTTGTTTATATTTATTTCAGAAATATGTAGAAAAGAACAAGTATGATTCCGATTGCTTTGAGTCGTTTTCTCCTCCCAACTCGAGGTAATCGGATGAAATTCAGGCTACAAATTCTTTTTCTCGTTCAATTTTTCTGTTAGAATTTTGCTAAGGTATTTTTAACCTGCGTTAATCCTCGAGGCCAGTTATACAAAATAAGAATTATTTTTAGTGCTCAACCACAAACGTCACTAACAGCTTTGGAGAGGTAGCCCTCTATTGGTGTCTCCTCCCTGAACCTCTCTTTTTGGGGTAACGCCCCTTTACACTTGCTTTACTGATGTAGTCTTCAAATACATTATTTTACATATGTTACTCGGCCAAGGCTGCCCATAATTAATGATTCTTTATTTAGCTCACGGTGAAATTACATTTTTAACTTTTTCATAACTGAAATTTGTGCTACGTTTTAACTTTATAATATAAGAGAAATAATAAGTGCGAGCTGGAGAAGCTAAATAAACTGTTAGATTTTCTAGTTAGCTCCCCGTCCAATTAAAGTCAGTGTGTAAGCAGGTGAAAAAGATGAAAATAGAATAAATAAATGAATTAGTAAATTAAATTAATAAAGAGCATTCCGTCTACGTTTGACCACAGTATTTATATTCCTACACTATATTCTGGTGTTTTAGGGCCCTGATATCTACACGCACTGTTACTTACATTTCTGTTGGTGTATCACGAGTTGAGGATAATTTGTTTTTAAATGTGGAAATTTTATTTATATTTGGTGATCTGATCAGTTTATATAAATGAGGGCCTGTATTTTGTGCGTTAACTACCTCCCTTTAACTTTCCTCGCCTATTAAGATATCAAGTCATTAACGAACAATTCTTAAAAAAAGGGATGTAAAATTTTCTTTAACAGATTCTCTCTGCCTCAAGGAGTGCCAGAAACAGCTGCGATCAATTTATGAAACCAACAGCAAAGTCAAAATCGTTCCGTGGGACCAAAGCTCTGCCGTTCACATTGACAAAGTTTACACCCAGTTGTCTTGGCTTATGGATGAGAAGGATCCCAGCGGAGTAACGCAGAAGAAACTTCAACACTACACCGACATTTTTGACGGCGGAAGACTTCATCATACGCCTAAGCGCATTTTGGTCCACGGACGACCAGGTATCGGCAAGACCGTTTTTACGCAGAAAGCTACATTCGACTGGTCCCAGCACAGATTTGAAGGAAAAATAGGAAGATTTGATCTTGCACTTTTGGTCAAATTACGCGATGTTTGTAACCTCAACGATGTCCCTGCCATTCTGAACGATGCTAATCTTCTCGCGAGTGATGGCCCAGTTTCCACTGACAACCTGTACGATTACGTTCGTCGCCACCAAGAAAACGTATTGCTTATTTTGGACGGCTACGATGAATACGTACACAGCGCAGAAAGGCAATCACCTGTTCTTAAAATCTGGGAGAAAAAGCAGTTGAGGGATTGTTGTGTTATTATAACATCTAGAGACATGAAAGGAGAGGGATTGAAAAGTTCTAGCGATGCTCAATTTGAGATCGAAGGTTTCGACCGTGAGCGACAAGAAGAGTTCGCCCGTAGATTCTTGAAAAATGATCAAGATGTTGAAGAGTTTTTTGAATACTTGGAGCAACAAGACTTGGAAGATGTAGCAAAAATACCTATTTTGCTTTTAATGTTGTCGTTGGTTTGGAAAGAAAAGGATCGTGAAGGACTACCTTCGTCACGGGTGATGGTGTACTTCAAGTTTCTACAGACTATGTTTAATCATATGTCGGAAAAACAAAAAAAGCCGGCGGAAAAAGTTGACGATCACAAACAAGAACTCTGTAAAGTGGGAGAACTAGCCTTTGACGCACTTCTACAAGATTTACTTTACTTTCCTCTCAGTAAACTGCCGGATTACGTTTTGACTGAGAAATTGATCGAAGCCGGGTTGTTTCAGCTGCTAAACATGTCCGCTCTTAACCCGTGCAAAGCCGTGCACTTCGTTCATAAATCCATGCAGGAGTTTTTGGCTTCTTTATTTCTAAAAGAAGAACTGTTATCTCAAGAAAGTAAAAACAATTCCCTTTTCAAAGTCGACTCAATTGAAAAGATCTTCAAGTTAAATGAAGTTTTAAAATTTGCTGCTGAAATGTCAGAAGAAGCCGCGCGCGAGATCTTGATTCATCTGTTGGAAATGGCGGCGAAGGAAGACGGAGAGTACAGCTTCGACAACCAAGCACCGTCAGTCGCAGATTTGTCAGAAACACAAAAAAATCTTTTAACTCTATGTACACAGTTATTCTTCTACTGCTCAGCAGACACGAGAACAGAACTTTTCCCCACTTTTCTTTCTAATCTAGGAGGTGTTTTGTTCATTTTAAATCCTGACCAGCTGAATATTGCAGCAAAGGAAAATTTTGTTAAAACTACCGCTTCACTTATGTACATATTTTTCTCTGAAAGCGACCAGTATACAGAGCAAAGTTATAATAATTTAATTAGTTTAGTACAGGAATTAAACGCTGTTATAGTTAGTAGAACAGGAGAACAAAAAGCATCAGAATTTTTGAATGTATTTCCATGGCGTAGTGTAGACGAGTTTTTCTTAAAGAAAGAAGAAAATAACACTCACCTTTATTTTATTCAAATTGTAAAAAATCCTATAAGAAGCATTTATTCTCTTCCAAATAAAATGGTAAAGACGTTAGTTAGTTTAGAAGAGACAACAAAGAAGACAAACGTGAATGGTGATGAGTCAAGTGAAGAGAGCAGCAGCAGCTGTTGTTCAAAGCGTCATGGTCTCTCCAGGGTTCGGAGGATTTTAGCTATTCATGTGAACAGGTCAGATGTGGAACAGCTGATTGAGATGATGCCGTTTATCACCGCTCCACACTGGATATTTGTTATGGGTGAAGTATCCGGTGAAGTGTTGGATGCTGAGTTAACAGAGTCTCTACTGAGGAGCATCCCAACAACACACAAACTGGAGGCATTAGTACTCCGTCGTATCAATGTAACATCATCATCTGCTGTGGAGTTCATCAGCAGAGTATTCAAACAAGATCTTCCAAACTTGAAGTGGCTCGGCATGTCACACAATCCTCTTCTGGGTGCAGGAGTCGACAGTTTGATAAAACATCTCAGCTGCGCTCCTCACCTGGAGAGACTGGACCTTGAAGATGTGAAGATGACTCCACAGCAGGTGATGAATCTCACATCAACTATTCAGCAGCACGGAAACATCACTGAACTGCTGTCATCCTACCACGTAAGTTTTCCAATTTTATCGCAATTTGTTTCTTTATTCTTTGTGTACAGTTTATTTCTACTCAGCTCTTGCCTTACGCTATTTTCCTTTCTTTGTCATTTTTATACTCGACAAAACACGAGATTTGCTTTTGAAAACAAATCACAAACTTAACAGATTCAAAGAATCATTTCAAATTCATTTCTTTCAACTGATTAAACTAACTTCATAAAATGTTTTAACTGAGAACGTTAAGAACAAGTAACTTCAGCTGATATTCAAACATTGAGTTGAACACAAGAAGAGAAATTTCGTATCTTCAAGCAGCCATAAGATGAAATTATTGGGTGAAAACAAGAACTTTCAGCAAAACAAAAGTATACAATTTGCACGGTATTAATTTCTGAATCAATTTTAATTCATACCTTTTCATAAAGTAACAAACAACAATCATAAAAGCAAATGAAAGATGTTCAGTTCATGTTCAATTGAAACAATTAAATGAGCTTAGTTTGCTATTAAAAAAAAAAAAAATGAAGAGTAAACACATTGAACTCACAGTTTCACGTTTATCGTCCAAGGCTCCTATAAAGACAGTTTAAGTCAAGTGAAGTTCTTTTGAAAGTCCAGAAAACAAACAAGTCTTTTTTATAGCTGTTCTTTTGTTAGTTCTTGAGCGTTTCCTTGGTAAATACTGGTCCTTGCAGTTCGGTGAAGCGTTGGTTTTTGAAATAACAACCCGCACAAAAAAATTGTATCTTTGAGACAACGGTTGAAAGCAACACCAAAAAGATTTTCCTTACAGGTAAACACTTCGCTGTTCTCCACTGTATAGCATAAGTGTCCATTGCATGATTTTCATCGCGTAAATAGCATGAGCTTGTTTTCAATTTTCCAAGAACACTCGCCATACAAATCAAATTCATCAAATCCTGCGGAGCTTTGGACTTTCGTGAAATATCCTTATAAAGGATGTTTCCTTGAGCTTCGAACAACTCCTTAGCATACTCCTGAGTAAAATGAGATGAATCCCTGTCTTTTGCCGGTATCATTTCCTTGATGTTTTCTTATTAAATTTTGAGTTCATCCTGAACAGTTTGCCGTTGAAGAGCGAACTGAACAAACTACAAAAACAACAAACGATGTCATTCAAAGCCTACTGACGTGGCGGCAGCTGATTGGTTAAATCCACCTCGGATGATTTTTCACGTGATGACATTTTCCCGCCTTTCGTTTTATTACGTAACAAATTCCCGCCCGCAAAAATACACTGTGATCTGCGAATTTTGTAAAGGCTGAATATATTTTCAAAAGAAAAGAAAAATGATTTGCTAATTTTGATTTTGATTCTACTATTTTGAATGTGAATTTCTTGTACGTGCGCCTTGATAAAGATAATGTTTCTCTTTCCAATCCCGCCGAGAGGGGAGAGGTACAGGGGGGTAAATCTCCCTCCTCCCTAAACTTGGTTTAAAAATTGGCGACGGGTAACACTCGTTTATTGAACTTAGTCGTAAGGGACGTTTTCTGACCTTCAGCGCTTCGCCTCTACACCAACATACCAGACAAAGAACGCGTCACCACCGTGTGTCTAGTGTAGTTCTGGCCCGTCTCTCTCTCTGTCTGTATGTCACGCAACGCCGGAGAGAGAGGGTCCTCCCCCACATCCCTTATTATCACGCAAAAAGCCATAAAATTACCTTTTCATCGATATCTCCCTACTCGCAACATTTCATTTTCTCCCTCCTCCCTTTATTTTCGCCCCGAGTTCTCCCTCCTCCCTATTCTGTTTCTCTTCCCTCCGCCGAGAAGTCAGAATCTTCGCTAGAAAAATTTATCTCAGCAAATAACTGTAAAGACGCTTAAAAATAGTTTTTGTCAGTTGTTGTTAACACATTAACCTTGTGCTCGTATAATTTTTGACAAGGTGCCGGGTTCGAAGCCTGCTCAGTAGCCTTTCTTTTTTCCTTCTGTCTTTCTCTTTTTTGTTTCGTTTTTGTTTTGTTTGCTTATTTGTTTTGTTGTTGATGTCTTTTAAATATATACCTTCTAGAGCAAAGATAGTATATTTATGGATAAAAAATCTGAATCGCTATCGTTTCCTACAATTTTCATTCCTGTTTTGTTGCAATATATTGTACAAAACTTAAACAGTCACCACATGCAGTTACAGACTACCTTTTATTTAGGCCAAGTTTTGACTGTTGATCTTTGCTTTCGGCACGCGAGGCTTGTTTTGAACTTAGTATATCTTCTCAAAGTTGTTGTCATATAAACAATTGTCTTTCGTTGGTCAGTTTAATCGCATTGTATTTAAAATGAAGGTTTTGAAATGTGTACACGTCCACACTTTATTAAAGGGAGATGGCTGGTTTTAAGTATTGTTTTGTATTTTGTTGAAGGATTATGAAGGAAACCTCAAACCTGAACATGAATGGCCATCAGAGAACGACTGGAAAGAGTGGTACCGTCACTTCTTTCCTGATTCATCACCTGAATCAGCGCATGAACAGGAGCAGGTTAGTCATCATCCAACTATTTTTGTGAAAGTTTGCTTATTAAATATTTAGTAAGACTTTCAGTGTTTGTGGGAACAGTTCAATTTAGGGGTTTCCTGTCCGTAAGAGACAATCAAGTACGCTTAGGAGCCTTTATTTGTAAGTCTCCATTACAGAGGATTTCCGAGTTGGTGATACTGAGTTAGTTTTTAATACAGTAAAAACCCGCGTGTAAGAACCTAGTGGCTTAATAGCCTGCTGGTAGAAATTTGCTTCTTTATTACCCAACAATACTAATGAGGACCAGGTTGGCCAAACGAGATCAAGCAGGTTCTTATATGTGGGTTACAGTTAAATTAATAACCTTATTCATCATCTAAAAAAGAGATTGAACAGGAACAGGTTAGTCACCAGCTTCGTTTGTTTAAGTTTCTGCAGCAGTCATTTGAAACTCCGGCCCTCCGGCCCCCGGGACTTAGCGGGGAATTTAACATTGGTTTGGTGTTAAAACACCGCTAATTTTCCCGCTCCCCAGACCAAGTAGTTTGTTAAAAGCCCCGTATAGCAGGGAATTAGTAAAGTGTAGTTCTAGGCTCGATTTCAACCGCTCTGTCCGATCTGGTATTCTGTATTTCTTAAAATTCAAACCATCAGACCCGTTGATAGAAACTCTCGATTGCGTTCCTTCAAATTGATGAAAAATGTTACCCTGGGTGCCAGAGGATTTTTTTCTTACCTAATTCCTGAGAACGGACCTCTGGAGCCAGTGTAGAAAAATGTGGTTAGATCGCTTACAAAAAAGTAACTTCTGTATGTTATACTTGTAACGGCAAGAGATCTTAAGCGAAACCCCGTGGGGGGGGGGGTACTTCCGTATATAAGCACTACACGTACAGTCAATTCTCGCCTTGCGGACGCCCCAATAATACGGACAGCAGCTAAATTCCCCGGCAAAACAAATTACAGACGTTTGACTTAAATAAACTCCCGCTATTACAGATTCTCGCTAATGAGGACAGTAATTTGAGATCCCTACAGTGTCCGCTATAAAGGGCCGGTTGACTGTAATTCTGACATAATTTCTGCCTAAATGGGTGTGGATTTTAGAGGCCAGGTCTGAAAAAAAGTGTGGAAAGTGACACTTTTTGGTCTGTAATAGGTTCAGGATTTGGAGAACTAGGCGGCACACCCCCACCGAGAATTACCCGGAGTACCCCTTGGGAAGCGAAACAGGTCTGTCTTTCTCCAATTTTCTAATCGTGAAAGTAATGGGAGAGGAATCGGGAAACTTAGAAAGCGCTTTTAGGATTAATTTATCGTCGTTTACGTACGAGGTGAACAAATGAGACTCAAATGAGATTTGTGAAGTCCTTGTGAGGCAATGTTCGACCAATGTTTAGGACGTTCTATACACTTTCTTTCTGTGTCTGAGACTAGGACAACTTGTTTTGTGCCTTCCTGCCCTGTTTCTCCTATGTTTTAATACTATCATTCTCTGCGGCTTCATCTCTCTTCTGCAGCCATACAAAACTTTGGGAAACGAGGCTTTTCCTTCAGTCACTCATGTTAAATCCCCGCTTCCGAAAATTCGTATTACTGTTTAATCCCCGCTCATGACATGGATAAAACAGGTATTTTGTTAATTTCCCCGCCACCTTGATTCCCTTTTCAAGCCGTTTAGGGAAGATATCACTGACATGTTGTGCCAAGTAGACCTACTGACTTTTGAAAAAAAGGTTTTGTTTAACAATTGGTAGATCAACAAAGAAATTAGAAACAGACACCATATCTATGATTCAAAAAAGGAGTTCGTTTTGTTCTCGTAACTCCGATGAAGTGATCGATAACTCTCCATCTGGTAGTTCGGATGGTTACAGTGTTTTGCAGCAAGTCCAGTCACTAATATAAGGATTTTGCACCTTGTAATTATCTCACCCTTTAGCAGAACTCAGTTCCCGACTAAATTTGCCCATCAGACACTGTATTTCTTATTTGTTAGGCCAATTATTGATTTAATGATCTTCACAGTCGGTACGTGCGGCCTGTTTTGAATTTAGTACATCTTGTCAAAGTGTTTGTCAACCCGGCACCCCTTTTTTCGTTGCTCACTTAAAATATCCTTTGTTATGTTCTGTAATCCCATTGTACCTAAATGAAGGCTTTGAAATGTGTACACGTCCAAATTTACCTCAAGAAGGTGGATGGTTTTAAGTATTGTTTAGATTCTTAAGGGATTTTGTTTGACTTTGTTTACATTTATTTACTGTATTTTGTCTTTCATCT